GAATATCCGTAATTACTTTCAAATGTGCCCCGTAGAGCTTATGGCAGAGAGTATCAGGGCATTATTTCTTGGTTTAAAGACATAATTTAACTTTCTAATTTCCTAGTCACTCGCAATTTTTACATTGAAGTAGTTTAATCAAGAATCTTGTGGAGATAGGTCTGACAAGCTTATTTTGTAAATAGTTTTTAATATTATTTGTATTTATTTGGTCAATTTCTCACTGCATGTACATGATGATGTAACAGGTATTCAGTGTTTGACAACGCTTCTACCAGTAACATCTAATATATTTCGTTCCCACCCAGAGAAATCAAAAGACGGAGTCGAGGAGGTCGGAAGAGTGTATTTGGCGATAACCAATATATCGGAATTCTCTGATCTAATCTGGCTAGCGATTGCGATTGATGTTGAGCACGGCGTTACCACACGTGATCTGATGCGGATGCATGATCGGGCGCCTTCAGCTAGATGAGTCCACTAAAACATATGGTCAGCATCCGTAGTCGAAAACTTAGGGCTATTTATTTTGGGGATTTATTTACCGCTACATACATTTATCATTAAATGATTGTACCTGTTGTTTAAGTATATGGCCTTGAAGACTTTTCCGTTGTGAGACTACATAGCATGACATATCGTTGCTGGTTAACACATACACTGCTTCTCACACACCCCTCGTTCTATTTTCATCCGAGATTGATTTAACTGAGATCTAAAATAAATATTATTTACATTCATAGACTGTGAGAGCGAATACACCATACCTTACTTCGGATTACACCACTTGGGAGTTCATCGATACGTTTGGAATTACCAAGCATCTATAATTGTGGATTTATTGTACCAGAGTAAAGCCGAACACGCATCATTTTGGGTGAACTTAAGTAAAATTCCATTTTTATTGTATATGTAACATTTAACTGATGTATATTAATATTACTATTACTTTTTATTAACTTTGTTGATACTTTTTGTGTTTATATATCGTCTCGTCCACCACAATCTCATATGAAGGTCTCATTCATCATACCTCAGTGGAATGTAAGAGGATGAAAGAATACATTCCGTTGTTGCAACTGGGCCAGAAATTGATATATCTAGAACTCCTACTATCGCATTTTTGAATCACGATTGACTGATAACTTCGCAACCTTCGTGAAAACATCAGGGCACCAAAATTCCAAGTTCTGAATGACGAAATCTCGTTTGGGTTAAAACTATCAGTACACACTAATGTTAAAGATTCCAGAGTCAAAATATAAGATATCAAATATGAGCCAGATAGGAAATAAACTTTTGATGTGAAAATTATGAAGAAACCCTATTCATAGCTTGAATAAAACAAACATATCGAAGACCAGTAAAAAAGAAGGATAATCGGAATAACAGTTTATCGTTACTTAAGTACTCTAAGCTTTACTCATAACACTCTCGATCGAAATGAATTTGGTTCCTCTCATAGGCAAATAAATAATCACGGTAAATTCAGGGAGGAGAAAGGATAATAAATGCAACATTTTCTAACATAGCAGGTACGCGCCATTTCTATAGGCATGCCCAATAATTTACGGAGTTTAGAGATGAAACGCTACTCAAATAGTGCTATTAAATAGATGCGATTAGTGAGAATAAATGGCAAAATATTCGTTCAGCGAGTTAATAACCAGGTTTTTGCCATAGTGTTATATTATGAATTCACAGTTTTCCTGTGTAGCTCATGGGACTAGCTAGTAGAGGATTTGTGTGCTAGGAGAGCATGAAAAGTAACATAAGTGATGAAGGCTGACCGAGAGAAAAACAAACGAAAAGGTCGGCCGATGACCCAGCAAGTGCACACGATGACTTAAATTTGCTGCGGTAATCTATCAACGACGGTCATATTTAACAAAAGTCTTAGATTAAGATGACATTGAAGCCGAAATCTAGAAGCAGATGGTTCACCCAGCCTCGTTTTCTAACATTCAACTTTCTTAGGTTTGTGTCCAGCTTGAAGGTGCCTTGTGTGCTGGAAGTGTGTTAGCAGCAATAAGTGAGGTTGCGTTGAAGAGAAAAGAAGTGTAAAATGAATCGATAATCCAGTAAGGAAATGGAATCTAATAAATGAAGCAGTTGATGGCAATCAGGACTAACATGAGCGTGAGAATAAGATAATGTGATAGTCGAAATGAGGGGTTGTTAGTGTAAGGCCTCAAACTTGTGGCAGTTTTAAAATCATTGTGCGTGATATGATTGATATTAATGATTTATTACAGAACAACAAAAAGTAAACATACTGGGAGAGCTAAAATAAGCTTCTTGTAAAGTGAACTAGTAAAGTCAATTATGCGAATAAGTTTTCGCTTTTGTAACATGACCGCGTAGTCCGCTTTTTTGAAATATTTACGTTGTGCTAACACGTCATAATCCTCTTCCTTGCTCATTCAGTGAACCAGATTGTATGTCGTTGTAATGGATTCTCACTAACCTCAAAAGAACCCCAATAACATACACAAATCTTTCAAGGTGTCAAAGCGTCGTTAACCACGCCTTATATATGACGCGTTAGAAAATAGAATCGAAATCAAATCTTGACAACAGCAACATCCGCACCATTCAGAATTCATTAAAAAGGGTAGTGGATTGATGGACTTGTATTAATTCTTGCAGCTCATTTTCCAGTAAAGATCTAGATCCTTCATGAAAATTTAAAGCATGAACTGCTTATACATGAACGTCGCGAGTTTACCGAATAAAATAGATGAGGTGTGTGAACTCAGCAATGCCAATAATGCTCATCTGATAAGAATATCTGAAACTTGGATATCTCAATTTACGGACCAGTAGCCATCAATACACGAGAAGTCTTTTTTATTTTATTAATAACAGTAAAGCGGGAATTGTGCGTAGAGTATCCTTATATTTGCGATCTCGCCTGGAGTCACATCGAGTGCACAATCAAGAGTTTATCAATCTTGATGAATTCGTGGGGTGCTGAATAGGACTGTCTATCACCTTGGGGCGTCTAGTTGGAGTGATCTACAGGATGACATCGAGTACGACAATCGTATGCCAGAAGGGATATCCCTCTCTACTCGTCCCAGATTCATTCATAACCTCATTCTAGGAGACTTCAATCTTCCTAAAGTCAATCCTGTTGAAGGAACAGTCAGACACCGTCGCACCTAGACTGGGTATTTACAAACAAAGAGTGTAATGTCCATTTTGAATGTTTTGTGTGTTTGTGAAAATCCCTCCATGTGCGTACTTGACTTTTGTTCCTATTGATCCCTTTCATTGTACATTGTTAGGTTCTCATTACATTTGAATTGTTAATATTTGTATTTTACAGTGGTTTTTGTTTTTACTACACCTTCACTAATTCCCCGTGTTTCTTCCCGATCTGCACTTATGTTGTTTTACTTTATACTAAGTCTTGGCAGCAGCCATATTGGTTTGTTCCTGCTTTTGATTGCTTGACCTGGGTGACTGGAATTGTGCATTTTGGTTGTGAAGTGAAGCACTCTTCCAGAATTGAAAACACACTGTGTTATAGGGCGACCAATTATTACCTTTTGAACAAATCTGTACGTGGTCTATCCAGACGGGATACAATAACATTTATTTGTTGTGATTGGTAATTTTCTTGCATCATTTATCAACTTTCTTATTTATTGTAATTAAGATTTGATCAATTGAACAATTATTGGTTGGATTGCTGTGTGGTTATATTTGTCTAGGTAATAATGCACACTTAAATTCATGATAAATTATAGAACCGTCATTGTACCCAATTACTTTGTTTTGGTTTCAAACGGCCAAGGGCGCGTATCTAACTCATCCAGACAGCTGTCCATCAGTCCAACCGTAGTTTAGATCTAACAAAGAGTTCCTGATTAACAACCTTACAATCCTGGCTCCCTTACAGGAAAGCAATCACACCGTCATAGCCGTTAGTTTTATCAGCAAAATTGAGTTAAAACATCCCACCAACAACAGGCGTTGTCTTCTCAAGAGCTTTTGAATGGGTCAACCATACACGTCCTATCAATAAGCTTGAAGATGCCACAGATATTTGTAGTTTGACAACAAATTAACCAGTGACACCTTCTATAATTGAATCGTGCCCACACAGTGAAGTTAAGGGTCAGAAACGAGGAGGTTCGAGAATATGTTTGATAGACTATCAATATATCGAGAATCGAGTGATCTAGACTGACTAGCGATGGCAGGAGAAGTTGATCACGGCGTTCCCACTCGTGATCTAGTGTGGATGAGTGATACAGCGCTTTCAGCTAGGTAAGTTCATTAAAACTAATGTGGTCAGCATCAAATGACGTAAACTTACATGGCTATTGATTTTGGGGATTTATTTACAGCTCCAAGCCCAAGCGATTAGGTGTCAAGTCGCCTTTAATTGACTGACTCACTCCATATCTAAAAAATCAACATTTAGGTCATGGTTAACTCATTTTCTCTCAGGCTATGGAATATCGTAGTGGGGTCTCCCAAGCTTCAGACATTTTTTCTTGATTTATATAAGCGATCTTCCACAACACGTATCGTCAGACTCATTACGTTTTGCTGATGATGTGAAACTTCGGAGAGATGAACGCGACCCGGGCGATAGACCAGCACTTTGGAAAGACCTAACTCAACTTTAAATCTGAGCAGATGACAACGGACTTACCTTTAAGACTTCAAAGTGTAAAGTAGTCCATCTGAGACATCTTACAGACTACGGCTACAACTTAGACGACTGTGTAGAAGTGTCCCAGGTTTAAAATGATCTAGTAGTGTTGGAACCCTAGGTATTGAAGTCTTACGACTGCGACAAAAACACCTTTAGGAGAATCTTGCGGTCGTAACATTGAAGCTCGTTTTTGACCAGATTGACGAAAGAACCTTCCACGTAATCTTAAACAGTTTCATCCACCCCCATTAAGAGTAAGGAAACATGGTATTTCCTCTCTCACTCCGAAAGGATAACGACACTCTGGAATGCATTGAACGGCGAGCCTATAAAGTACAACATGACACCCATTCTCTCTTATTATTCCGAGTGGTTGAAATTAGTCAGAGCTGTAACTTGGTTTAGAAGGTTCATCGAATTCCTGGTGGTACTTCGTTTACCGAGTTGTGAAGGATCCGTTCATCTAGGATGTTTAAAGGTCAAAGAGCTTGAGATTGCCAAGCGTAAGATTTTATTGGTGGTTCAGAGAGAAGTGTATGGAGAATTACTTAGTGAATTTAAAAACAGCAGTAAAGTAATATGTCATGATGATCTGAAAGATTTAGCATTGATAATGCGTGATAGGTTACTCTGCGTTGGAGGTCGACTAAGATACTCAGAGTTCCCAAATGCTTTTAAACATCCAGTAATTTTACCCAGTCGACACTTAGTGACGGCAATGATAAGTAGACATTGTCCTAAAGAACAAGGACACATAGGAAGATCATTAGAAAAAGGGTATGGATATGTGTTTACTTGTTTGCAAACATGGGTAGTACATACTGAAATGATGTGTAGTTTGATTACTGATTCATTTATAATTGCCTTATTGCGTTGTATTGGAAGAAGGAAACCTCCGGAGATTTACAGTGACAGTGCGTCAAGCTTCGTGTGGGCAGTTTCTGAGTTAAGGAAGTTTGTGCAACAGTCGGATCAGCAGAAGATAAATAGTGAATTGTCAGCGAGGCCCTCATCCAACAGCATGGGTGGAGTTGGGGGAAAAGTGACTAGGTCTATACCACGAGTGTTATTGTTGAACACCAGAGAACAAGTGAAACAGGTCTCCTTGAAGCTTCGGATTAGTCTTTGTTGATATTAATGTAGGTAGGTCGAGTAGGCGTACTGTTGTGAGTCCTACTCGTTCCTATAGTGTCATATGCTACATAATGAACCATGACCATAGGCATCAAGGTAGCTTGTGTGATATGGAGGGATTTTGGGGGCCGGTGTAAGATCCATTTTGAGTGCTTTGTGTGTTTGTGAAAATCCCTCCATGTATATACTTACACTTTGTTCCTATTGATTCTTTTAGTTGTACATTGTTAACCTTCTGACTACATTTGAATTGTTAATATTTGTATTTTATTATAGTTTCGTTTTTTACTACACCTTCACCAATTCCCCATGTTTCTTCCCGAACTGCGCTTATGTTGTTTTACTTTATACTAAGTCTGGGTGGCAGCCATTTTGGTTTATCCCTGCTTTTGATTGCTTGACCTGTGTTGACTGGAATTGTGCATTTTGGTTGTGAATTGAAGCACTCTTCCAGAATTGAAAACACTCTGTGTTATAGAGCGACCAATTATTACCTTTTGAACGAATCTGTACGTGATCTATCCAGACAGGATAGAATAACATTTATTTGTGGTGATTGGTAATTTTCTTGCATCTTCTATCAACTTCTTTATTTATTGTAATTTAGATTTAATTGATTGAACAATCATTGGTTGAATAGCCGGGTGATAATATTTGTTTAGGTAATGATTTACATTAAATTTATTATGAATTATAGAACCGCTATTTACCCGATTACTTGTTCTGGTTTCGACGGGAAAGGGCGCGTGTCTAAAACCCCCTATCGGCTATTCTTCAACATCCAAACCGTAGTTTGGATCCTACAATTACGTTTAGCTGATGAGTCCCAATTAGGAAGGAGAGCGCGTCCTGGATTTCGCTGCTAGCTACTATCCATCTTTGCTTATAAGTATATTATCGTACTTAGTAATAGCACTTCTTTCTTTCCAAATGCTCGAGAAACATAATTGAACATTACAAACAATAATCCATAAATAAAATAAACAATAATGAGACGATGTTTGTATTAATAAACAGACGTTAGCTTTTTAATTATCCACTTTATTAAAACAGATGCATAATCCAGAAGTAAACAATATTTCTCAGTCAAGTAAGTTAATCTTTCGATTTTGCAAAATGATATTATAATAATTAAATGTAATTGGATTTTGTATGCTAGCTAGTAATACTAAGAACTGTTCTAGTAGTCAAGTACGAACCGGCATTCAAATCATAAAAACCCTGTGAGCACAGTTAAAGGTAATGTATGTGGAATTAAAATTAGTTGTGTAATAATTTACAGATGAATCGTCAGTCGGTACAAATACTACAACTGACAAAAAATACTTAGTGTATATAGGATCCAAACTACGCTTTGGATGTTGAAGAATAGCCGATAGGGGGTTTTAGACACGCGCCCTTTCCCGTCGAAATCAGAACAAGTAATCGGGTAAATAGCGGTTCTATAATTCATAATAAATTTAATGTAAATCATTACCTAAACAAATATTATCACCCGGCTATTCAACCAATGATTGTTCAATCAATTAAATCTAAATTACAATAAATAAAGAAGTTGATAGAAGATGAGGAAAAATTACCAATCACAACAAATCAACGTTATTCTATCCTGGCTGGATAGATCACACACAACAGGAGGAACAAATCAATATGGCTACCGCCAAGAACAAGTGTCAAGTAAAACAACGCAGATGCAGTTCAGGAAGAAACACAAACTTAGTGAATGCGTAATAAAAACAAAAACTATAACAAAAATACAAATATTAACAATTCAAATGTAATCAAAATACAACAATGTACAACTAATGCGATCAATAGGAGTAAAGTACAAGTATATACATGGAGGGATTTTCACCAACACATAAAACCTTCAAAATGGATCTTACACCGGCCCCCAAAATCCCTCCATATCACACAAGCTACCTTGACGCCTATGGTCATGGTTCATTATATAACATATCACACCATAGGAACGAGTAGGACTTACAACAGTACGCCTACTCGACCTAACTACATTAATAACAACAAAGACTAATCCAAAGCTTCAAGGAGACCTGCTTCACCTGTTCTCTGGTGATCAACAATAACAGTCGTGATATAGGCCTAATCACTCTTCCCCAAACTCCACCCATGCTGTTGGATGAGGGCCTCGCTGACAATTCAATGTTTATCTTCTGATTCGACTGCTGCACAAACTTGCTTAGCTCAAAAACTGTCCCCACGAAGCTTGACGCACTGACACTGTAAATCTCTGGAGGTTTCCTTCTTCTTCCAATAAAACGTAATAGAGCCATGAAAAATGAATCAGTAATGAAATTACACATCATTTCAATATGTACTGCCCATGTTTGCAAACAAGTAAACACATATCCATACCCTTTTTCTAATGATCTTCCTATGTGTCCTTGTTCTTTATGACAATGTCTAACTATCATTTCCGTCACTAAATGTCGACTGGGTAAAATTACTGGATGTTTAAAAGCATTTGGGAACTCTGAGTATCTTAGTCGACCTCCAACGCAGAGTAACCCATCAAGCATCATCAACGATAAACCTTTCAGATCATCATGGCTTACTACTTTACTACTGTTCTTAAATTCACTAAGTAATTCTCCATACACTTCTCTCTGGACCATCAATAAAATCTTACGCTTGGCAATCTCAAGCTCTTTGACCTTTAAACATCCTAGATGAACGGATCCTTCACAACTCGGTAAACGAAGTACCATCAGGAATTCGATGAACCTTCTAAACCAGGTTACAACTCTGACTAATTTCAACCACTCGGAATAATAAGAGAGAACAGGTGTCTTGTTGTACTTTATACTACTCAAGTTAACCACAGCAGTTTTTCTAAACTCAATATCGTCAAGAGTAGGTTCTGTACAGTCAGTGATTGTTATATAAAATTCGCCATGCAATAAAATAGGACATTTGAACCAAGATTCAAGATCGGTCATTTTTTGTATACTTCCTCTACATAATAATTCACTTATATGCTTAACGAAACTCTTTGCTTGATCACAAGTGGGAATGGATATCAAGCAATCATCAACATAGAAATTATTCTTGACATCATCTACAACATAACCATCATAACCGTTAGAGAATATTTGGGCCGTCTTATTCAGGGCAAGGTTCGCGCAAAATGGTGAGGAGGTGGCATCAAATGGATGGGATGTCATTTGAAACTTAGACGGTTCTCTCGATATGTCCCCCTCCTGCCACCATAGAAATCTTGAAGCTCCTCGATCAGACTCAGGGACCTTCACATGCATGAACATTTCTTCAACATCTACAGGGATTGCAACTGCCTCCTCGCGAAAACTTATTAATATACACCTTAACTCAGCAGTGGTATCGGGTTCTTGATAAATCATATCATTTGGGGAACCCCCTGCAAACTGGGCGGCACAATCAAGGACCACTCTAAGTTCTTCTGGTTTTTTCATGTTTAATACTGCACGATGAGGTAAATACCATCGAGGGCGATAATAAGACTGTAGATATATTTCAAAGACCCTCTCCGCATAAGTCTTAGTAAAATCACTTTCAGTACTTTTGATATACTTGATGTGCAGACTGACATCCTTCGACAACATACCCTTCAAACCTTGTAATCTACGGTTTGCTACTTCATAGTTATCCACTTTCATATCTGGATTCTTTTTCCAAGGTATAGAAACTACAAAATGACCGTTGCCGAAGCGCGTGCCACCTTCCACAATCTTTATAGCCATCTTGTCGTCTACTGATAATGATTTATCACTTGAATAAGCATCTGAAAACTCTACGTCATAAGGCTTACGTATTTCGTTCTCTAATGTCTGTATCTTACTGGTATGATTAACAAATCTTTTCCTATATTCCGGGCATGATGGCTTATCATTTACGACGTTGCTTGTCGAGTCAGTGTGCAGCAGAGCGTGATGTCTCCTCTCGCAACTGTCAACCTTACAGAGCCTTGTCATCTTACATTCATTAACCTTATGTCCTTGTCTAAGACAGACGAAACAGATACCCTTGCTTTTAGCGTGAGACCATCGGTCTTGAACTGTAAGCGCTAAGAACTGTGGACATTTATCAATGGCATGGTCGTAGGAACACATACTACATTTAGTTTTCATTGTCGAACTATTCCCTTGCTCTGATTGCACGTGACAGTTCGTCTTTACGTTATGCCCTTTTCTAGAACGGTTTGCTAACCGTCCAAATCTACTACAAGCCACTCTCGCACGCGATGCGATAAACTGAGTGAGCTCGTCGAAGGTCGGTTCTCTGTTATCATCAGTCAATTTATCCACCCAGTCCGCCCACTGGGCTTGCATAGGTTGAGGCAAGAGTCTCACTATTCTTTCCAAAGTAACTAAGGAATTTAGATCAGAAGTATAATTCATCTGTTTCAAGACCATGGCACAGTTTTCCATTTTAATAGCCAAGTTTAATAGTTGGTCCCCGTCAATATTTTCAAAATTCACAGCACTGAATAAGTCCTCTAGTGTTTCTCGAGCAATTACGTGAGGCTGTCCGAAAAAACGTTTTAAAATCTCCCTTGCTCTTTTAGGGCCAGAGGATGCCTCCATCACGACGCAACCTTCAATAGCTGTTTTAGCCTTGCCCTTACAGTAGTGTATCAAATAGAGTAAGCGCTGGCTATCATCCGTGACTCTTGAGGCTACATACGTCTCGAATTGCTTTATAAACTTCCAGTAACCTCTTGGCTCTCCATCGAAATAACTCAGTTCAACCTTAGGTAGCTCTGGGACAACAACATGGACTATAGGCAACATGCTCTTTTCTGGTAATTCAGGCCTTTGCTCCTTTAAACTAAGATTTTTTACGTCATCTGACATCGAATTAAGACTAGAATCACTACCATGATAATCAACCCTATTTGAGTCTGAACCATGACCCTTAAGGACGTCAAAAGGCACTTGCTTGACAATAGGGGATTCTTCGTTAACATCGACGAACTTTGAGCCTGATCTCCTTCGACGATTAACTAGCATTATAAGCGACACGACCAATTATTTCCAGAAAATCCGTGAACGATTACCAAAGGATTTCGACCAAGTAATATTTGTTTATAACTATAGGATCCAAACTACGCTTTGGATGTTGAAGAATAGCCGATAGGGGGTTTTAGACACGCGCCCTTTCCCGTCGAAATCAGAACAAGTAATCGGGTAACTAGCGGTTCTATAATTCATAATAAATTTAATGTAAATCATTACCTAAACAAATATTATCACCCGGCTATTCAACCAATGATTGTTCAATCAATTAAATCTAAATTACAATAAATAAAGAAGTTGATAGAAGATGAGGAAAAATTACCAATCACAACAAATCAACGTTATTCTATCCTGGCTGGATAGATCACACACAACAGGAGGAACAAATCAATATGGCTACCGCCAAGAACAAGTGTCAAGTAAAACAACGCAGATGCAGTTCAGGAAGAAACACAAACTTAGTGAATGCGTAATAAAAACAAAAACTATAACAAAAATACAAATATTAACAATTCAAATGTAATCAAAATACAACAATGTACAACTAATGCGATCAATAGGAGTAAAGTACAAGTATATACATGGAGGGATTTTCACCAACACATAAAACCTTCAAAATGGATCTTACACCGGCCCCCAAAATCCCTCCATATCACACAAGCTACCTTGACGCCTATGGTCATGGTTCATTATATAACATATCACACCATAGGAACGAGTAGGACTTACAACAGTACGCCTACTCGACCTAACTACATTAATAACAACAAAGACTAATCCAAAGCTTCAAGGAGACCTGCTTCACCTGTTCTCTGGTGATCAACAATAACAGTCGTGATATAGGCCTAATCACTCTTCCCCAAACTCCACCCATGCTGTTGGATGAGGGCCTCGCTGACAATTCAATGTTTATCTTCTGATTCGACTGCTGCACAAACTTGCTTAGCTCAAAAACTGTCCCCACGAAGCTTGACGCACTGACACTGTAAATCTCTGGAGGTTTCCTTCTTCTTCCAATAAAACGTAATAGAGCCATGAAAAATGAATCAGTAATGAAATTACACATCATTTCAATATGTACTGCCCATGTTTGCAAACAAGTAAACACATATCCATACCCTTTTTCTAATGATCTTCCTATGTGTCCTTGTTCTTTATGACAATGTCTAACTATCATTTCCGTCACTAAATGTCGACTGGGTAAAATTACTGGATGTTTAAAAGCATTTGGGAACTCTGAGTATCTTAGTCGACCTCCAACGCAGAGTAACCCATCAAGCATCATCAACGATAAACCTTTCAGATCATCATGGCTTACTACTTTACTACTGTTCTTAAATTCACTAAGTAATTCTCCATACACTTCTCTCTGGACCATCAATAAAATCTTACGCTTGGCAATCTCAAGCTCTTTGACCTTTAAACATCCTAGATGAACGGATCCTTCACAACTCGGTAAACGAAGTACCATCAGGAATTCGATGAACCTTCTAAACCAGGTTACAACTCTGACTAATTTCAACCACTCGGAATAATAAGAGAGAACAGGTGTCTTGTTGTACTTTATACTACTCAAGTTAACCACAGCAGTTTTTCTAAACTCAATATCGTCAAGAGTAGGTTCTGTACAGTCAGTGATTGTTATATAAAATTCGCCATGCAATAAAATAGGACATTTGAACCAAGATTCAAGATCGGTCATTTTTTGTATACTTCCTCTACATAATAATTCACTTATATGCTTAACGAAACTCTTTGCTTGATCACAAGTGGGAATGGATATCAAGCAATCATCAACATAGAAATTATTCTTGACATCATCTACAACATAACCATCATAACCGTTAGAGAATATTTGGGCCGTCTTATTCAGGGCAAGGTTCGCGCAAAATGGTGAGGAGGTGGCATCAAATGGATGGGATGTCATTTGAAACTTAGACGGTTCTCTCGATATGTCCCCCTCCTGCCACCATAGAAATCTTGAAGCTCCTCGATCAGACTCAGGGACCTTCACATGCATGAACATTTCTTCAACATCTACAGGGATTGCAACTGCCTCCTCGCGAAAACTTATTAATATACACCTTAACTCAGCAGTGGTATCGGGTTCTTGATAAATCATATCATTTGGGGAACCCCCTGCAAACTGGGCGGCACAATCAAGGACCACTCTAAGTTCTTCTGGTTTTTTCATGTTTAATACTGCACGATGAGGTAAATACCATCGAGGGCGATAATAAGACTGTAGATATATTTCAAAGACCCTCTCCGCATAAGTCTTAGTAAAATCACTTTCAGTACTTTTGATATACTTGATGTGCAGACTGACATCCTTCGACAACATACCCTTCAAACCTTGTAATCTACGGTTTGCTACTTCATAGTTATCCACTTTCATATCTGGATTCTTTTTCCAAGGTATAGAAACTACAAAATGACCGTTGCCGAAGCGCGTGCCACCTTCCACAATCTTTATAGCCATCTTGTCGTCTACTGATAATGATTTATCACTTGAATAAGCATCTGAAAACTCTACGTCATAAGGCTTACGTATTTCGTTCTCTAATGTCTGTATCTTACTGGTATGATTAACAAATCTTTTCCTATATTCCGGGCATGATGGCTTATCATTTACGACGTTGCTTGTCGAGTCAGTGTGCAGCAGAGCGTGATGTCTCCTCTCGCAACTGTCAACCTTACAGAGCCTTGTCATCTTACATTCATTAACCTTATGTCCTTGTCTAAGACAGACGAAACAGATACCCTTGCTTTTAGCGTGAGACCATCGGTCTTGAACTGTAAGCGCTAAGAACTGTGGACATTTATCAATGGCATGGTCGTAGGAACACATACTACATTTAGTTTTCATTGTCGAACTATTCCCTTGCTCTGATTGCACGTGACAGTTCGTCTTTACGTTATGCCCTTTTCTAGAACGGTTTGCTAACCGTCCAAATCTACTACAAGCCACTCTCGCACGCGATGCGATAAACTGAGTGAGCTCGTCGAAGGTCGGTTCTCTGTTATCATCAGTCAATTTATCCACCCAGTCCGCCCACTGGGCTTGCATAGGTTGAGGCAAGAGTCTCACTATTCTTTCCAAAGTAACTAAGGAATTTAGATCAGAAGTATAATTCATCTGTTTCAAGACCATGGCACAGTTTTCCATTTTAATAGCCAAGTTTAATAGTTGGTCCCCGTCAATATTTTCAAAATTCACAGCACTGAATAAGTCCTCTAGTGTTTCTCGAGCAATTACGTGAGGCTGTCCGAAAAAACGTTTTAAAATCTCCCTTGCTCTTTTAGGGCCAGAGGATGCCTCCATCACGACGCAACCTTCAATAGCTGTTTTAGCCTTGCCCTTACAGTAGTGTATCAAATAGAGTAAGCGCTGGCTATCATCCGTGACTCTTGAGGCTACATACGTCTCGAATTGCTTTATAAACTTCCAGTAACCTCTTGGCTCTCCATCGAAATAACTCAGTTCAACCTTAGGTAGCTCTGGGACAACAACATGGACTATAGGCAACATGCTCTTTCCTGGTAATTCAGGCCTTTGCTCCTTTAAACTAAGATTTTTTACGTCATCTGACATCGAATTAAGACTAGAATCACTACCATGATAATCAACCCTATTTGAGTCTGAACCATGACCCTTAAGGACGTCAAAAGGCACTTGCTTGACAATAGGGGATTCTTCGTTAACATCGACGAACTTTGAGCCTGATCTCCTTCGACGATTAACTAGCATTATAAGCGACACGACCAATTATTTCCAGAAAATCCGTGAACGATTACCAAAGGATTTCGACCAAGTAATATTTGTTTATAACTATAGGATCCAAACTACGCTTTGGATGTTGAAGAATAGCCGATAGGGGGTTTTAGACACGCGCCCTTTCCCGTCGAAATCAGAACAAGTAATCGGGTAAATAGCGGTTCTATAATTCATAATAAATTTAATGTAAATCATTACCTAAACAAATATTATCACCCGGCTATTCAACCAATGATTGTTCAATCAATTAAATCTAAATTACAATAAATAAAGAAGTTGATAGAAGATGAGGAAAAATTACCAATCACAACAAATCAACGTTATTCTATCCTGGCTGGATAGATCACACACAACAGGAGGAACAAATCAATATGGCTACCGCCAAGAACAAGTGTCAAGTAAAACAACGCAGATGCAGTTCAGGAAGAAACACAAACTTAGTGAATGCGTAATAAAAACAAAAACTATAACAAAAATACAAATATTAACAATTCAAATGTAATCAAAATACAACAATGTACAACTAATGCGATCAATAGGAGTAAAGTACAAGTATATACATGGAGGGATTTTCACCAACACATAAAACCTTCAAAATGGATCTTACAGTGTATGCTAAGAGACGAACCAGAAAGTTCAGCATGAATTCTTGGACAGTCATCAGGCGGTCCTGACCATGGATCCTTTTAATATGGATTGAAAAGTGATGTTTTGACTTATGACTTCTTTCACAATTATTTGCCGTGCTAAATATATCTGCACTCATCTACAGCCATAAACACTTTAGTGTTCCCAAAGACTTCATTTTCTCAACACCCAAATGTCCACTACTGATATCTTCAGAAACAGATTTACATAGTGAATGAGGAATAACAAAACGATCATTTAAATACGAAATACCGCTAAAAGCAGTGAATGATTTATTCGCTTCGAAAAATAGACTGGAGATCAACATTTCAGATTAACGTTCCAACCTTTTCTTTTGGCACTGAGTATACATCTAAAGTACTAATGAGTTTTCCCAATGAGGTCTGGACGGCCGACTGATGTTAGTTGCGCTAATAAACAGTCTACAGTATCAACAGGTTTATCTAAAAATGACATAGAGATATGTAATCAATGTTTCAGATTTGTTTAGTACTACTGAGTCAAAGAATAGTCATAATTACTCAGTGCGATGATCCATCGTCGAAACATAACCGGAGAGGAAAGTGTCAAGGATTTCTCAGGATTATAAATAAACTTTAGACTTTCATGATCTATAACAACAGTGAATGCTTTTCAATATAAGAAGTCACCTAACAGCCCGAAACATACCGAATGCGCTTCGCTAGGTTCGTGAGAACCTTGCTCAGCAACAGAGAGTTTACATGTAACACAAGTTACTGGTTCAGTTTCCTGCTTCAAAACTGCACCAATACCTACAGGTGATGCAGAACGTACTTTGGGAGAATAAATACTAAGGATGGTATCACCTTGAAGTAACCTTGATAAACTGCATAAACATGACTTTTGTACCTCACCCTATTTAGATTAGATGGATGTCCAGATCTGAAAGAGACGGTTAAAAAGACAAAACTGGGAATGAAATGGAGCATCATCGGAAGCAGATGTAATTATGTAGAACTTTACAGAGACGGTGCATCCGTGCATGGAGATATTCATTGCATATATGGTATTAAACCGTTACCACTAACTAGATATCCAAAACGCTTAAAACTAGGTACAAAAAATGAACGGTTATTGAGACTTGTATCGACATTCCTGTTAAGTCAATAAGCTTTCGATCATGAGCTGCTTTATCAAGACCATGATTATTAAACATCACCTTGATAAACCTTGACACCTTTAAGATCAGTAACTACGTTATTCACCACTTCTTGAAATAAGGCTGGAGAACAATTTGAGTCAAATAGAAGGCAGCACTACTTCAGTATTATTCGTTGTGAAAATAGATAGACTTGCTGATAAGCATCTTTAGATCAACGATCGAGAACACCTTAAAACCATAAAGTCGATTAAGAATATCTTTGGCTTCCACTGTGGCGCATGTGTGCCTCAACAAATGGGAGTTGTTCAACTACCACATCTTCTCCATGATTCGCCACTAAACTTCAAAACAGTAACAACAGAACTAACTTATGCTGAAGATAAAATAATATAATTAATTTTATCAGGAGATTTTAAAAATTTCACGGGTTGGAATCACAAGTCAATTGAAGCTAGACCACTAGTGCTTCCAGGTTTTCCATGTTGGTCTAGCTTCAACTGACTCATGATTTCAACCAGTGAAACTAACTTTATGTACAAAAACCATTCAGTGTTTCTTCGTACTGCTTCTCGAAGACCATAAGAAATAATTCACCTTTTAAGAAAGACTGAGGTATCCTGTAACTGAAGATATATGACCCGAATTTTCATTCTTCCACTGCACTTAACACACTCAGCGATTAAACTTTTGGGTAAAGCGTCAGCATCTTGTAGTGTGGCGTACGCCACGTTGAGTCTTGGTTGACTATGATCAAGACTACAAGAAGACTACGTGCCAGTTAACCGATAAGATCCCCTGTAGACCAAATATCAAAAGGCAGTTGATGGCTGTATATTTGTTGGCGATCTCGTGGTATCGAAAGAATACCGAGATCGCGCCAGGTCACAAGTGTGGTTACTGAGCGTAACCGAATTCGTGCAGGGTCACAAGCAATGGAAGAATGTATGTGTTTCGATACAGTTAAACAAACAAGTACGGCAAAACAATCCTTGGAACGACTGGTTATAATAATAATAATCGCTTCCATTACACCAATCGCGTTCTCCTGATGAAAGTAGGTCACTCCAGGAGCTCCCCGCTAGAAAGCGTTTACATTTTGATAATTAACTTGCCAAGTATAGAAGAAGAGCTCAATAAAATCCTGAAGTATCCCTTTCGAGATTCTTGGACTGGGTGTATTATTTATGGATTAGTGCATAAAAGTATCTTCTACGATGTTCAACGAGATCAAATTTTTCTGGGAGGATCCTGTTAGGTTCGTTAAGCTTGAATGCTACTAGTGATTCGACTTTTTCGGAACACAACGAAGGATCAGGATTCAGAGACTCAATAGGCTATTCTGGTCCATTGTCCCCGACTCAGCTAACTCGATCAAGAAGTCTTGGTTGTAAGATCCATTTTGAATGTTTTGTGTGCTGGTGAAAATCCCTCCATGTATATAATTGTACTTTGTTCCTATTGATCCCCTTAGTTGTACATTGTTGTATTTTGATTACATTTGAATTGTTAATACTTGTATCTTTTTATTTTAGTTTTTGTTTTTCTTACGCATTCACTAAGTTTGTGTTTCTTCCTGAACTGCATCTGTGTTGTTTTACTTGACACTTGTTCTTGGCGGTAGCCATATTTATTTGCTCCTTCTTTTGTGTGTGTTCTATCCAGTCAGGATAGAATAACGTTCATTTGTTGTGACTGGTAATTTTCCCTCATCTTCTATCAACTTCTTTATTTATTGTAATTTAGATTTAATTGATTGAACAATCATTGGTTGAATAGCCGGGTGATAATATTTGTTTAGGTAATGATTTACATTAAATTTATTATGAATTATAGAACCGCTAGTTACCCGATTACTTGTTCTGATTTCGACGGGAAAGGGCGCGTGTCTAAAGTCCCCGGTCGGCTATTCTTCTATTCAAACCGTAGTTTGGATTCTACATTGGTATTCTACAGACAAACAGCAGATAACAAGTCAAGTCAAGCACACAAATCAAGCGTATTTATACAAATATTTATGATCGATATTTTCACGAGAAATTTTTAAACATTAATCAATAAACCTGGAAGCACTGGACGGCCGTTTCGTCCTAGTATGGGACTCCTCAGCAGTGCGCATCCACGATCCCGCACCACGCGGGTCTAGCTTCAACTGACTCATGATTTCAATCTGTGAAAATTTCTAAAAATCTCCACAAACCCCTTCTGATAATAATCATCTGCTCATTAGTGACTGACTTCAAGAAAAACTCCTGGAGTTCTAGTGAGAAGCCGTTACCAGTGGAGTTCAACCAGTTCTGTTGTGAGATATCAGCTCACTGAAGACAATGGTATATGGTGTCGCAACTTCGTTGATTGGTTGAAGTTAGACATTAACACCGTTGGATGCCGGCTCAGTGGTCCAATGGTTAAGTGCTCGCGCGCGAAGCCAGTAGGTCCTGGGTTCGAGCCCCGCGTGGTGCGGGATCGTGGATGCGCACTGCTGAGGAGTCCCATACCAGGACGAAACGGCCGTCCAGTGCTTCCAGGTTTTCAATGGTGGTCTAGCTTCAACTGACTCATGATTTCAATCTGTGAAAATTTCTAAAAATCTCCACAAACCCCTTCTGATATTAATCAATAAGTTCGTCAACTGACCGCTATTTAACATTTAATCGATAAGTTCACCAATTGAGTCCCATACAAATATTAAAACATTTGATCAAAAAGATAAAATTAAAAAATATGAGTTTTGGGGATCTATCGTCCCCAACAATCCTCACAGAGTCAAGTTTGTTTTGCTTTAAGTGAGTATTTGTTATCAAGAATGTAAGTCCACCAAAGTCTTTTCTTATTCGTTTTTCCTCTCTGTCATCCATATCCTCGCAGTCGAGACATCCACTTCGAGATTAATTTAAATGGAAACAGATTTGTTTGATTCTGCAGGGAAAACTTTATAATTATTATAGCTAGTGTCCAGTGGTATTTCATGTTTGATTTGTTTAAAAGAGATTTCGTTTTTTGATGTTTCGCATTCCAGCGTCTAGCTTTTGCTGCAACATCACTTGTCACAGTATTATGTTCTTCGCTTTCAGTTCTCAGGATACTAGACAAACGATCACCGGCTTTCTTGCTAGACAACACCTAAAAACTACGTGTCTCTTGAATCCGTGATGCCTTGCTCGAACAGCACAACATGTAAAGTTAATGGGAATTAGACTTCCAGCAACCTTTGTGTACAGTAGGATTTTAAAAACTTCACATCATACAGAACCACTTTCGCATTCATCAATCTGCACTTCTTCCACCACATGGAAAGAAGAATAAGACTGGTCACATTTGTGAATAAAGCCAAACATTTAAAAAGGGTATAAAGGTGTAAACTACTGAAAAATACACAAAATGAACACTAGTGTGATAACCTAATGGACATAGAGTACCACTAAACGGATCTCAAGAAAATTCTAAACCCTAACTAAAATAGATAATTTTAAAGTTTAAAAATTTTTTTTGACGCAACAAATACACAAAAGCAAAGTTTATTCTCTACAGTAACCAAATCTCTGTCCTTTTTTAAAACGCGTTGAATAAGTACTTCGTTCCTCGCCCATCAATACTACTTACCCTATATACAACATACTATTTT